TCTCTGACAGAGAAGGCTCAATGTCTCAGAAAAAAATACAATTCCCAGTCTGCAAAGGCCCTTGATTTCCTTCCATTGAAAGCAATCAGTCTTCAAAGTCCTCAAATTTGGCTGATAGTGCTTGACCAAATGAGTAAATTAGAGAAGAAGATACTATTCTCCTGTAGCTCAGTGGTTCACTTCCCAGCTAAAAAGTAGTGGTACACTTTCTGCCACAGAAGGCTCTCTTGCTCAATTAAATCAATGCCCTGGAAAAAGCTGTGAGCTACTGCTGAGACAGCAAAGGCCTTAAAAGTAGATACTGCTTTGAGATCAGTAAACCAATTAAACCACCAATTTATAAAGAAGTGACTTTCATCTCAAAACTGAAGAGGAAAGGGACAAACCTCCAGCACAATCTAGACATGATCTGATGAGACAGAATGCCTTAAGTTGAGTACATTGTGGTTTTCTGGATTTTATTGGAAAGTAAAGGTGCACAGTCCTTTCCAAAGATCTTTAAAAGATTGTGTGGAACGTAGATCAGGATCTCTGAGCTTAGTCCATCTCTGGGTGGTTTGCAGAAAGATCATCAAGAATTTCTGCCCCTCCCAATTCTAGTACCAATAACAACATAAGCCCTTTCTCTCTCCTCTTAAATTAGGCAGATGAAATCAAGAAAATTCAGAGCTTGGGAAAAGTTCAGGTTTGGATTTCAACTCCCATAATTCGCCATACTGGCTATGTTGCATTGAGAATTCTGGGAGCTGTAGTTCAGACTAAATTACTTTCCCAGGTTCTGGGAAAGCCTGGGAGGAAATAGGAGTAGATTTTCACATGTGACCTCCACTTCTGTTGCTGAAAGCAAATTCCTGGGCTGAGCTGAGCACGTACTCCAAGTCACACCTTGTCCTACAATTCAGTATCTGCCTTTCTGAGCCACTATTTAACAGCTGGCTCCAGCTGATAGACTTCAAAGTCTGTGTGAAAAACAAAGCATAGTAGGTCCTGTAAGTTAAATGCCTCCCTGCTTCTGCCTTAAGATTCCTCAGGAAGGAACTGAACATAAACAAAAAGGAGATTCATGTCATGTATTTAGACTCTTGAAGCAGTTAATTCATCCAGACCTCTTTCTCCTCTTCAGATGATTGCTGAGTAGAGTAGTTTCCTCAGGGCAAAAGGCCATGGTCTCTCTATCCTGGAGATTGCTGCCAAATCACAAGATACCGATCAGCCCTATCCGTGAGGTCAGCGTCATCCAGCTCTCTCAGTCTGGGTCTTTCTGATCCTTCAGCTATGTAGAAACTCCTTATTTCATTTGCCTGGATTCTTCCACTCTCCCAGTCATGCCAGAGTCTGAGCAGCTGTGAGATTCCATTCTATGCTTTCCTGCTAGTATTAGGGTGGGCAAAGTGAAGCCCTCCACTTAATACAAAAAGTTCCAGATCTTCAGTTTAAGGCTTTCCTATAGCTTCCACTCCAAACAAAGCAGCTTGAGAAGGTTACTTTTAGGCATTACAATTTTCAGAATCTTTGGACCATAGCTCTCAAATTGGACAAGTTGGATAGGGAATTCCAAGGAGTTTTTATTCCAAAAAGTATTTTTTTTCCAAACTGTAGACCACGAGTGTGAGCATGATCATAGTCATGAGGATGGAGTTTACAATCCATAGTAATCAAAAGCCTAAACTCAGCTGCTAGGCCTAACTAGAGTAGGACTATTTTATAGTCTCTTGATTCAATGGGTTTACTCTACAGCAATTTGATTTAGGTTTAGTGATTAATTTTAGGATATTGATTTCTGAATATTATTATTATTATTATTCCAAGAAGCAACACTAGGCAGTTCCTGTACAAGACGAAAACAATTAGCACAAAAAATATCAGTTTGCACAAAGTATATCAATATCAAGTGCAAATGAAAGATATAACATTTTATTTATTTATTTATTTATTTATTTCAAGGCTTTATATCCCGCCTTTCTCCCACAATGGGATTCAAGGCAATTTACAATAATAACATCTCAACAAGTTTGGGTAATATTCGCACAAATCACATCAGCCTGAAGATTTTTTGTTTTGTTTTATTTATATCCCACTTTTGTCCTGACAGGGGACCCAAAGCAGCTTGTAATGAAGTGCAAATAAAGAATGTGAAGTCTCAACACATCTTGGCAATGTTATAGGGCAGAGGTGGGAACTGTGAGAACCTCCAGATATTGCCAAACTATAACTCCCATCACACCTAACCAGCATAAGAAATGATAATGAATGCTGGGAGTTTCAATTTAACAACATATAGAGGACTATACAATTCCCACCCATGTTCTAAAGCCACAAGCATGCTGGCTGGGAAATATGAGAAACTGTGTTCCAAAAAAGAAACTTTTCCAAACTCTAGGAAGGCCACATTTTTTTCCAAGCTCTAGTTCAGGGGTAACTGTCAGAAGTTATGGTGGCACACTGGCCTCCAAGAGATCTTGGAAAACCAAACCTCTTTCCAAAATATTTTGCCCCCAAATGACCCCCAAACACCCTGTAGTCTAGTTGCCTTCTAGTTTTGTTTTGTTTTTGTAAGTACCTCCCCTGTGCCTGGAGGGGGGCAAAAGACATGGCAAAAATGCCCCCGTGGCCCTTAAAGGGCATTTGAGGCAAAAAAATTGACTCCTAGGGTGCTACATATGGTCCTATTGTGAGGGAGAAAGTCAGCAATGGTATACAGGAAATTTATGTATGCTTTATTGACTTTCTGAATATTATTTTTCAAAAGGAGAAGGAGGGAAAGAGAGAGAGAGAACTGGCATTTCTGTAACTCCTGCATGTGTTGGATGGATTCCCTGTGAGTCTTACAGTCAGGGAGCTTTCCCCATATTTTCATTCTGAGCAGTTGCAGTGCTATATTGCAGCAAGCCATTTGTTCATTAACTCATTACCAGGAGCAATGCTAGCTTTGAAAGCTTCAAATTGTGCTGAGCCCAGGGCTCCTTAGAAGAAGCAGTGTGTCCACATGAACTCCCTCTTAGAGGACGAAAGGTAGAATTGATGTGCAGGAAGTGGGGTTGCAGCTATTTGTTTTCCATCATCTCAGCAGTTCCAAAAAAAAAAAAATAGTTTTCACAAAAACAAGCTGCCTGCCTTCCCCTGTCCCGATAGAGTCTGTTAAAATATACTCTGGGAGTTACAAAGGCTTGGGGGTTGTTTTTGCTAAATTAAAGTGGACCTCAGATGCCTTTTTGGCTTCTGCCAAGGGCTCCTCCTCATCTGCTGCCACATCTGTTTTTATCTGGATTTATCATTGACAGGTCTGCCCTTGTCCATCGGCTTTATTGTTATGATAGTAGAATAGTCTTTCTAAAGTGGGAAGGGAAGAATCTTCTTTCTTTCTTTCTTTCTTTCTTTCTTTCTTTCTTTCTTTCTTTCTTTCTTTCTTTCTTTCTTTTTAAAAGGACCAGTACATGAGAGAGTGTGGGAGCCAGTGTGGTATAGTGGTTTGAGCTTTGGATTATAACTCCAGAGTCCAGGGTTCAAATCCCGCCTTGAACATGTAAACCCACTGGGTTGACCTTGGGCAAGTCACACTTTCTCAGCTTCAGAGGATGGCAATGGCAAACCCCCTCTGTAGAAACTTTCCAAGAAAATTCATTTGCCTTGGGGTAGCCATAATTCAAAAATGACTTGAAAGCACACAACAACAACAACAACAAATATAAGAGTGTGAATTCTGCCACAACAACTTCTATACTGCCAACAGGATGGGGTCAGTGGTACAACACATTCCAGGAGTAGTATGTATTTGAAACCATACTAGCTAGAGAGGGAGTGACAAAATAGTTTAGTTCAGAAGTGTTACTATGGGGGTGTGGGAGGGAATAAAGGCATTGCCCCAAAATTATAACGCCCAAATGAAATGTTCTTTCAGTCCCCAAATTTCTAGCATTACAGAGAGTAATGAAAATCATTCACACCTAGAACTCTTCTATTTCCTGTGTTCGTATTCCCTTGGTAACTTTGCCTGCCCCTTTTCTTTGGATGCCTAAACTGTATTTCTAAATGTTTAACAGAAATTTTTTAATTATTTTTTTAATTTTTATTGTATTACAATTTAGGAATTGTATAAAATGTCAACATACAAAAAACAGTAACAATCATCTAATGGTTATTAAAAACAAAATAACAAATCAATAATGATATGGATATGATAATATAGAACAAGGGTATTAAGGAAAGTTTAAAAGGTGCACAGTGTTAAGTTTTAAGTTACTTCAGTGCTAGAAACTTGGGTGCTGAAGGAATATTTCCTTTTGGGTGGGGGTCAGAATTCTCATTGTGTTCCTCGCCCCCATAGCAACAGCCCTGGATTGGTCTGGGAATCAGTGGAGTTGCTGAAACTGTTCTTCAAAGAGAGCCTAGGTAGATGATGGCAAACAAGGTAACCTTGGCACAGACCCAGAGTTTGGAAGAATTTCTCTTTTGGGCTGGAATTTCCAAAATTACCTAGCCAACATGATGAGTGTGGACATACTGGCTGTGGAACTGTGGGAGTTTTCCCTAAAACAGGAATATCTCCAGCATCCATAGAGACTGTAGTCCCATTTCCCAATCACCAGCCAGGAAGAGAACCATTTATAGCACAAGAGAGTAACCTGCAGCACTAAGGTTCTCAACAGAACTGGCTCTCAACAGAACTGCACAAGCCCTTAGCCTAATTTCAAAGCCCTGTCCTAGGGTTTATTCACACTGTGAAAATAATCCGGGTTAAATGTCCATTGTTCACACACATCCCAAATGCACCTCATAAATTTGGGGGGTGGGGGGTGCTACCCAAAAACCCACTTAATCTAGGATAATCGATCTCGGGTCCCCCCCCCCCGAATTTTTTAAAAGATCCACATCAATGGTAGTGTGAATATCCAATGTGAATAGACCCAAATAGACCAGGATAAAGCACTGCATATCAAAAAAGAGGTTCTGAACGCATTCACATCATTGGCTCCATGTTTATTCAAATGCGTGTAAATAACCAAACTCACAGAGATGCACATTGATGCAGTTCCAGTGTGAATAACAAACCCTGAATGTGTGAGTGAGATGATTCACATCGTTGTGCTAAAAAAAGTAATGTCTGAATGACACCCCACCCACCCACAGTGATAAGTTCAGTTCTCCAGCAAGACTGACCTCTCTTCCTCCCAACAGCCTACTGGATAGGGAAGAAGAGAGAGATTGTGTAAAGAAGGGATAAATCCCACCCTCTTTTATGGTCCCTGGCAGGGAATGTAGCCCTTGAAAGAAGAGAGATTGCCCAATCTTGGTTTTTAAAGTACTCCCAAATAGATCACTCTGCTGTTTTTCCTGCTGTAGTTACTGTTAGAATACTGTTTTGGTTATTTGTGGTTAAATCAGTTTAGCATACTCCACAGGTATTTGGTAAAAACAACTAGATCTGAGCTTCTGGTAAATAAACAGGATAAGTAGGTAGGTAGGTAGGTAAAAAGAAACTTACTTTGTTGTTACATCTAGGTTCTACAAAAATAACTAATCAGTAGAGAATGCTATACTTTGCTACAGAAGGTCCCTAGATAGCTGACCTCCATGTGTGCAAATAAGAAGAAAAACATCTTTAGGAGCAAAGCCTGGTTTCTGCATCCATTTCTTGGTAAGATCAGAGAGGAAAATGTGCTAGCAAAGAATCATAAAACTTTATTACCCTCAGGAAAAGGAGGGGTATGGGAAGTGACCTCTTCACTGATCAAATAACATTAGAGATACACATCAGTGTTCCTGTGTAGAGCACCCCCTTCTCAAGGAAAACATAGAACTACAGACAAGCATTGATGCTAATACTCCAACACCTCTTCTCATCAATGCTTGTCTTCATGTGACTAAATTCATCTTGCTTCTCAGGACCTGAAATTGATCTCTAGATAGAGGCTTGGTAAAAATATCTACAGGCATCTCCTTTGATGTAGAACATTCATGTGGTACTTCTGCCCTTGCAATGTAGGAAAAACATAGAGGTGATACTCCTCTGTTTGTTCAAGATGAGCACCTGAGCTGTGGTTCTGGAACCCTGTCTGCTTCCTCAGCAATGTCCAGTTCCAAACTTGGTTCTGCTTGCTCATTCTCCCCTTCTGTTTGTGTACTTACTTCATCCTCTTCAAATCTAGGCCAATATTCCAGTAGTTGGTCGACATCTAGTGTCTCTGTCTGTGTGCAGTCTGTAGTTGCACATGTCATGCCTGGTTTCTCACTTTCATCGAAGTACATAATACTTCTCACTGTGATTTTTCCTGTTTTGGAGTTCAGGATTGTATATCCTCTACTTCCATCTTCGTACCCCACCATTATGCCTTCTTCCACTTTGTCATCTAGTTTGGATCTTCTCTCTTGTGGAACATGAGCATAGGCTAATGAACCAAAAATTCTGATATGGTCCATACTTGGTTTTCTGTTGTGCCATAGTTCAAATGGGGTTTTATTGGTTGCCTTTGTAGGCAGTCTGTTTTGTAAATATGTTGCAACCATCGCAGCCTCTACCCAAAATTGGTTGGGAAGTCTAGCATCAAGCAGCATGCATCTGACCATCTCTATCAGGGATCTGTTCTTTCTCTCAGCAATCCCATTCTGTTCATGAAAGTAAGGAAAGCAACATCTATGTTCAGTTCCTTGTTCTCTCAAATATGTCTGCACTTCATGTGAAATATACTCTCCACTATTGGCACTTGGTAAGAGCAGAGAGGAAAGTGTGCTAGCAGACAAAGAATCATAAAACGTTATTACCCTCAAGAAAAGGAGGGGTATGGGAAGTGATCTTTTCACAAACAACACTGACCAAATGACCATAGGGATATACATCTGTGTTTCTGTATTTGCCCTTCTCAAGGAAAACATAGAACTACACACAAGCATTGATGCTAATAGTCCAACAGTTACCACTAGTGGATTCTGACCAAGCCAGAAGGCAATGCAGCTTCCACTATGGATGAATCTACACAAGGGCTGTATCCCAGCTTCACTGCACAGTATCCCTTCCCCAGTTTGACCCCTTTACTGCCACACATGCTTGCTTTAAGCCCAAATGAATCAGTCTGGGAAACCACACAGGATCCTCACTACATAGCCACTTCAGTGCAAGGGAGGGTTCTACTGTGTGCACGTGTTTGCTATATCAGTTTATGTTTGATCACACAACCACAGCAGCACATACATTTTAATTCCTAAAATGAATGTGCATATTTGTATATTCACTTAATCATATAGCCTATGCTTTCCCTTTATTCTGAATGCTCCCCTGCACTTCTCTAAAGTGAAGTCCATAGAGAGGAGGGAGGTGAAATGGCAACCTGTGAATGTGTGCATACAAACAGTAAATCCAAAAAAAAACCCAACACCACATTTTCCGGATGCCAATACAAACAAGAGAACTACTCTTTTGTGGTGGGAACAACCAGGTGACCAAGATAATCACCCATCAACCTTGCCCCTACCACCCCCAATTCCACCACAAGCCCAATTCAAGGGTTGAACCACATGGTTTAAAAACCCAGTTCTTCCCCAAAACAATGGAGTAATCTGGAGGTTTTTTAAATATTGCCTTAAAGCCCTCAGGTATTGAAAAGAATCCCTTCCCCAGAAAGAGAGGAACATTGTGTGTTCCAACAGGACTGGAATTGAGGTAAGGACACATTATTAAGACTGTGTAAATTCAGCCTAAATTGCTAGGGCAGCTATCACTTTATGCAATCTCTCTCACTGCACAATTACTGAGTCCTCAGGGTGCTTGGTTATTGTTACACAAATGTAAAGAAAATAAAAACTTTACCTGATGAAGTAATAACAAACAAGCCCAGAATACATAGTATTATTTAATAAACACAAACATACCTCTCCCTGAAGTGATGGTAGCAATTTATTAATTTTTCAGAACAGGATCCAACTAGTAACTTATCTGTCTATCTGTGGCCCTCCAGATATTATTCCATGACAGCTCCCATCATCCTGAACCATTAGCCATGTTGCCCATCTCAAGGGTCTGTGGGAGCATCATTAGCAAGAGATTAGTGATGAGATTAGAGTGTAGTACTAAACAAGAGACAGACATATATAAGATTCTATCATTGGCCTGTTTGTCTGTTTGTCTGTTGCATGCTCATGTTTATAAACTGAATGGGGAGGGAGAGAAGCTGCATTGACTAAAAAGCATTGACTTGACCTGCACTGATGAGAAATTCAATCTTGCTGTCTTGGACTGACACCTCCCAGATTCTATGATGCATCCTTTATAGTACAGTGAATCCTTGTTATCCACTAGAGTTTGATCCCAGGATCCCCCATGGATACCAAAATCCATGGATGTTCATGTCCCATTAAATACAATGTCATACTAAAATGGTGTCCTTTATATAAAATGGCAAAATCAAGGTTTGCTTTTGGAGGAATACACACACACACACACATAATTTTCAAGCCATCGGGGATTGAATCCATCGATATGGAGGGCTGACTGTATCTCTTGTATAATATTTCCAGAGCATTCACTATTC